GGGTTTGGGGTTTTGATTTTGAGAGGATTCTTGACCCAATCACAATGTTCCAAACTTGGTATCAACTGGAGTAGTGAAGACAAGGAAGAAAAAGAAAGAAACCAAACAAAACAAACGGAAGATCATTATTTCATGGGCACAGTAATTTTGGATACATAAATACAAAGTAGACACCAGCGTTATAACACCCACAGGGCCATAAGTAATTCCATATACAACGTACACGTAAGGATTTCATTTTTGTCAGCCACCTACACCGTCTTTCTATGCATACAGTGACCTAATACTTCTTTTGTTAGAATTTTATATAATTGTCCTAAATTTAATTTCTTAAAAGAGATTTTATTCTTTTACATAAATCTATACTTTTTCGATACTTTAGCATTAAAGAATATATATAAAAAGAAAATAGCATTATTTTTTAAAGGAGGGAGTAGTACAAAAGTTACCAACTTTTGTAGATTAACTTTATTTACTGTTGCTATATTTTTTATTCTACGTACTTCTTTTAAATTCCGTAAAAAATTAAATCAATTTTGCTTACCATAAAATTACCATTCCATCCCTCCATTCATGGCTGCTAATAGAGTGGAAAAGGACACCCAATCCCTACTTCCGAAGCTGCTGCTGCACAATGATTCGAATTTGCAGGCAGCTTTTTTTTTATTTGAAAAGACTGTTTGGTCAAAGCTAGCTGAAGGATTATTTGGTCATTTCATAGGGGATTACTTGGTGCGTGAGATTGCACTATTAAGTACAGAAGTATTAACTTTTGGTAAAACAAGAGCATCAATAAAACAGTGTTAGCAACAGCTTGATTCTTATGCAAATGGCATTTAGACAAAAATAGAGTCACTTACTCAAATGGACTTAACTATCCCAAATTATTTGCTAAAAATACTTTTCTTTTGTTTGTAATAACACAAAGTCACTTAAATGTATCTATAGCACTAAGAACGTCATTCAACTAGATTTTTCAAATTTTGGATTGTCTAATTTCTATTTTACCCTCTAAATTATAAATATTTATCTTATTTTTTTTTATACTTTTAAATATTGTGATTTTTCCCCTTTTAATTTATATTATGGACTTACCTATAGAATAAATAAATTTTATTTATAAATTAAAAAAATAAAAAAGTATTTAAGCATATATAATGTTGGAATAACAAAATAATGAGCATAGTAAAAAATTAATTAGAATAATTTGTTCGTAATAATAATTTTAGTATATTAACAACAAAAATTCAAAAATTTATTTACACAATTGAGAATGAGAGAAACCAAAAGATTGCAAAACATATATTTCATACACGTAATATAAAAAAAGTATTTAAATAAAGGTATTTTTATAACACACATTATATATTCTTGAAAATTATGCTCAATTATATTATTATTCCGTCATTATATGAGCTAAAAACTAATTTTTATTTTATCAATAAAATATATTTATTCGTTTGTAAGTCCACAATGTAGATTAAAAAGAGAAAAAATTATATTATTTAAAAAGTTTTAAAAATTGATAATTCAGAGGGTAAAATAGGTATTTGACAATAAAAAATTTGAAAAATCTAGTTGAGTGACTTTCTGAGTGCTATAGGAATATTGAAATGACTTTGTTGTTACAAACGAAAGATAAGTGATTTTAGCAGATAATTTGGGATAGTCAAAAGACCATCTGAGTAATGGATTCACAAAAATAAATAACTTGTGTACAATCGATTAAACTATCTTAATATCGGAAAATTTCTTTTTTAACTCATCACCTAGTGATTCAAAATCTTCTTAACTCAAATAGTGGTTCAAATTGTAATGTCGGGGAAAAACAATTCAACTTGTGATGACAAATAAATGAAGAGTAATAATTTATTGATCAGCCTTAAAGGTTGTCCCCGAAAAAAACAAAAAAAAAACCCTGATATTTTTGAGCAATTATATTATAGTTCAATAACAAACAAAAATTGGAGAGATATATATAGTGTTATAGTGTGCCGAAAGCCCGAAACTTCGGTTCCATTAGAGAACTAATCATGAGCTGCATGCTAATAACAACATGTATTACATGATTAGTCATGTGTCTTGTTCTCAAGCACAAAGTAAGAAATACAAACATTTAACCCTAAAGTTAGCACTTTAGTTTTGGTAGATGCTGTCCGACTAGATAATTATCTCCACGATGTTTATATTTTCTAAGTGTCACTGGGGCAGATTGCCTACATCACACTCTCTTGAGATGTGACGGTTCTCAGGACCTGCGCGAACACAAAATATATACTTGATGCATCAAGTGGTGTTTATCAAATATATTATTTGTAATGTGCTTTTTACATGTTAGTACAATTAAGTAGAGGTTAAACTATTTGAATAATATTATTCAAATCTCTCGTTTGGCGGGTATATAAGTATGTACATACATACATACATACATACATACATACATACATAAACTTCCTAATGAAGGTGTATGCGGCAGAACCAAAGGGTTCGATTTCCCGTCATTAAGGCGTTTCGGAAGATCACTTCGAAGCCTCGAGGCTGCAAAGATGCACTGGAGTCTCCTTCCTCGGAGCTCGTCGACACCCGGCCTGAAGAGAATATCGGCCGAGGCTAAAAGTAAAAATGGGGAGTTCTCAAGACACGCGGCTAAGTCTGACAAAGTCTAGCCGGCCTACTCTGAACCCAGATCAGGGAGTCACATCTAGTTGTCCCATCTTCATATCTTTACAAATTAATGTATGTCGTACCATATAAGGTTTTCCCTTCTATATAAAGGGGATCTTTACTATTTTGTACAGGATTGATGTTGCTCCAACTATTCTACACGAAATATATGATAATTCTCTCTCGCTTTTCTCTCTAACACACTCTCTCGATATTGTTGCTCTTATTTACTATCTTCATACTTGTTCTTCATTTATTGCTTATCATTGGCCATAAAGAGCCTCCTTTAATTATATCACGACTGTTAGCCCTTTCCCGACTGCCCCTAATAGCTCGAGCCCGAGCTCGGGAATCGACCTCGAGGCCCTAAACCGACTAGCTCGAGGCCCTGAATGGCTAACTTATCGGTTCGATTATAACTCTATTTTAGCTCGCATCTCGTCCTTAAACTTCACACACATAGCATCAACTGCTTTACAACTACCATAAAAATAGATCACGTATTTTTAGAGTCCCATCAACAAATTATTATTACCATTTTTAAGGTAAATAGTTTTGCGCCCACCGTGGGGCTAAAAATAATAGTGGTTATTTTCTTGCTGGTCTCGTTACACAACGCCAGTTATCTTTCACACTTTTTCTTGTCCAAGATCTTCGATTTCAGGTCAATATGTCTGGCTCAGTGAACAGAGTAGAGAACGACGACCTCGAAAATCACGAAGAAAATGGTGTGGCTGTTCCAATTGTTGGTACGCCACCACGGAACCCCGAGAACGCACTTGGGCCGATTCCAGCGGATGCGGGCTCGCGCGACGCATAGCAGATCGACGAAACCTCACGCACCGACAGGAGCATACAATAAGGCGACCAACAGGAAGCCCAAAAAACCCCAGCTCGGGAAGAACAGGAAGTTAGCCTTCATGTTATTTTGGAAATGTTGCAGGCACAACAGCTGGCTATCGCTCAACTGCAAAGCCACCCAAAAACTCCAGGCACCGTAGCACCGGGAACAACTCCCCCGGCCGAACAGGTACCGGAGAGATTGAGCAATAATGGTTCGATAGCCGACCCTTCTATCGTAAAAATGCTCGAGGATCTTACCAGAAGGATCGAGTCAAGCGAAAAAATGATAGCAACCAACGACAAGAAGGTCGAAACTTACAACTCCAGGGTCGACCAAATGCCAGGCGCGCCCCCAGTCCTAAAAGGCCTAGACTCGAGGAAGTTCGTGCAACGGCCGTTCCCGGAGGAAGCGGCTCTGAAACCCATTCCAAAGAAGTTCAGAATGCCGGAACTCCCGAAATACAACGGGACCTCAGACCCCAACGAGCACGTTACCGCCTACACCTGCGCAGTGAAGGGCAACGACATAAAAGACGACGAGATCGAGTCCGTCTTGCTGAAGAAGTTCGGGGAAATGCTCTCAAAGAGGGCCATGATATGGTACCATAACCTAGCTCAACTCCATAGATTCATTTGCCATGCTGGCGGACTCCTTCATAAAGGCACACGCCGGTGCCATCAAAGTAGCAACAAGGAAGTCTGACATATCCAAGATCAGGCAGAGGGAGAACGAAATGCTGCGAGAGTTCGTATCTCGCTTCCAAATGGAACGAATGGAACTACCCCCGATCTCCGACGATTAGGGGGTACAGGCCTTCACTCAAGGCCTGAACGAGCGGAGTTCAGTGGCCTCAACGCAGCTGAAAGAGAATCTGATCGAGTATCCTGCCGTAACTTGGTCGGACATCCACAACCGATACCAGTCAAAGATCAGGGTCGAGGATGATCAATTAGGAGCCCCTTCGGGCTCAGTATACCCGAGCAGGCTCTTAGCAAAGGAGTCGAAGCCAAATAAAGAAAGGTATCAGCCATAAACCGAAGATAGGAGAAACGCCCCAAGACGCAACCCGACTCGCAATGACCGACTGATCAACCGAGGGCAGAATGCTCGGGGACTCATTAACAGAGCCGGATTCGACTGAAACACGGGGCCAATAGGGGCACCACGCCTATCAGAATACAACTTCAACGTTGATGTTTCAGACATCGTGTTCGCCATCGGCAAAATCAAGGATACCAGATGGCCCAGGCCTGTACAATCGAATCCTTCCCAAAGGAATCATAACTTGTTATGCGAATTTCACAACACGCATGGCCACAGAACCGAGGATTGTCACCAGCTCCGAGAGGAAGTAGCCAGGCTACTTAA